CAGTCTCTCAGCCACTCAAGAAATTCCTACAAAATTTATGGTACCCGAAGGTTCATCGCCGTGTCCACAAGAGCCCGCCACTGGTCCCTACCTCAACCAAATAAATTCACACCACCCCATCCTATTTCGCTAAGATACATTTTAATATTATCCTCCCAGCTACGTCTAGGTCTTCCCAGTGATCCCTTTCCCTCCGGATTTGTCCACCAAAACCCTCTCTGCATTCCTCTTGTCTCCTATGCGGGCTACATGCCCTGCCAATCTCCTTCTCCATGACTTTATTAGTCCTAATTTCATGTGGCGAGGAGTAAAACTTATGAAGCTCCCAGAATTCAATATAAGTCGCTGGAATGTGATTGGTGTCGTATCTTAATCCGATGGAGATGTTCGTATACGAGGCTCATTAAGGACCGCGTACCATAATTCTAGTACAAATAAACAGAAGAACATCTCCAGCCGTAATGGAAATGTCATGGCAACAAGAATAATGCAGATTCTAAAGAGCTTGTGTGTAAATATATAACTTCTACTTTGTAGAAACAGTGCATCAGTGTATATGATACAAAAGCAAACAGTCTCAGTCATCGGCTTATTAAGCTGCGTTTGCGTCAGACAGGGAACTTCATTGCCTGCACTTGTAGAAGAATCTGAAACTGTTGACTGCAGCGTCCGAACCAGCGTGGCCTAACGACATTAATCTTTCTGAGAAGACATCAGTTTCCAACTACGCAAATCACGTGGTGTTACTCTCTTCCTTAAGTTACGTAAATCAACATTAGTACGTCGTAAGGCGTGGGGGGGTCATGTGATCGCATCATAGCTAAGCAATTTTTTTATCATGCAGCCGCCATGTTGTTATTTTAAATTATAAAAAAAATACAATAACAAATTCCGTATTTTCTGAAAATTAAAAAAAAACATTACTTTATATCTTTATTACCAGTGGCACTTGTGCAGATTTGTTCGCCCGCCATGTTCGTATTAGCCAGTGGATGAAATATAAAATTAAGATTTTAAGGTAGGGGAGACTGGGGTCAATTGCAACATTTAAATTTTCTCATGCGTGTCTTAAAGGTCGATTAAGGTCTGAGCAGGATTACCTATCCCACATAGACAGGCTGAAACGTTTGCACAAGACAAGAAAATAATGTTTTGTTCTATTTCTGATTTTTTTAAATGCTGCGTTGTACGTAAGACGTCAGTATGTGACCGCGGATTCAAAACATGTCGAATTTGTCACTCATTTTGAATTGAATTTATTTTGTGGTTTTAAAACGACGAAGAATTTTATCAGTGACGGCGACACGGGGAGAATTCCAACAGTCAGCGTCTGTAACACGTGACAGCTGAGCCCATAAACTTAATAAACTTTACCTTAAATTGGGAGAAAATTGCTCAGAGAAATCACTTTTCTTTTCGAAACCCCGAGACACGCGTACGACGAACGGATTTGGGAAATTCTCAGGAGGTTATGGGCACTGGTGTAGCAGAAATGTTTTTTTTAAGAATGACAGATCACTTAATGATCGTCGCTAAAGAGTATGGAATTTGCTAGGTCTCTCCACAGGTCTTGTACAAAGTTAAGTAAAAATCAAAGTCTTTTTGGGCAGAATTACTTAGGGACTGCGGTAAATGAGATCTTGGTCAACACTGAAACATTTCAATTCAAGATCTGAGAAGATTTACATTGTCAGTGTGCATTTCATCAAAGCTGAAATTTCCCTCGTAGTGGAATTAAACCGAAATGTTTGGCAAAGACTGGTAAAAACTTTTTTTTTAAGTATATATTAAATCTTGTCCGTCTAATCGCAATAAATTCTTATTAAATATTAAAATATTACAATAATTAACATTTAAAATATTTAAAATATTAAATGATGTTCTTTATCGAAATATTCGATTTACATTAGACAATCATTTTTCATGTTTCACGACATGTTTCAGTTCCTAAAAGAACCATCTTCAGGTGTATACAATTATATAAAGCTTCAAAACGATAATTTTTTTTTTAATTTGAAACGAAGTCCCCTCCTTCCATATTTCTTCCAGAGGTAACCAGTTTTGCAACGGCGAATGAAATTTAACCTTGAAAATAGTAACACATTTTTTTAACTCCCTTCTAAGGTTCTTAATATAATAAATTCCCAGGAAAAAAAATTCGTTTAAAGTGGACCGATAGGCTTTTCAGTGACAAGAAATGGATCTGGCTTGATGTAAGGTGAACAAAATACTTCACGAAGATTATGGTCCATGCGCTGAAGAAGATTGGCCATGCCTTGGCTCAGTAGGCAATTGAAGAATGGATGCAGTGTAGGGACTATCACATATAAGCATTTTACACAAAAGGGGTTTCGCTATGTTCTTTAGACTAGAAGCCACACAAAATTTGATATTCAATTATGAAGCGTATTGGGTGACACTCTATCAATTACATCAGCTTAAAATCTACGTATTATCTAAGCAATCATCAGGGCTTCTTTATAACAGGAGCATAACTCTGTCGTCCAAATTGAAAAAAAAAATATTTAAAGAATGAAATGTTGTTATAGTAAAATCCCAGTGGTATATAAATTTTCTTATCAGTTTATGTTTCTTACAGCCGACACTTGTAGGTGTCACAATTGACCCACACGTGGCGAAACCTACAACAAAATATTTACAAGAAAACTTTAAGCCAGCTTTAATGATGCCCCTACGACCAGAATAGAGTAGTTAATTTTACTGTCAAGCCATTATAAATAATTTAACTACAGAGTGAAATATAAAAAGTTACAACTGGCTCCAGTCTCCCCTATACCCCGAAGACACAACGTCTATGCCAAATTTAATCTAAACTCTTCCAGTGATTACATAAAAAGCCCACTGTAAATTAATTCCACGAACTTTGCCCAAATGATGCCGGGAAAACAATGTCGACAGAAGACATCTTCACCGAGACTCAAACCCAGGACGTTCCGTTCCTGATCTCTACAAATAAGCATGCCAAGTTTGGAGCAGATCGGTTTATCTGTCTCCTGGGTCGTAGCGCCGCGTAGTCTGACAGAAGTTTACCAACGTTTCAGAGGTCCTTGCTGCCTCCATCCTCAGGGCGATGAGTGACGTCACAGTTTATCACCGTCGCACGTTCATGACCAGTTATAATTACGGAGTCCAAAACATTTCCGTCGGTATCCACGTCATATATTTCCACTTTAGACCAAAATTATTTGAAGAGCTTAAAAACATAAATAATCAGAAATTTGCCGGAGATAAGGATTTGTAAGAATTATGTCGCTTGGGAGCCATCTTGATTGAATGTTTGAATAACTGCTTATTTAACTGAGGAAAACCATGAAAACAACCAGCCAGAGGCCTATGAAGGAGACTGACAGGTGTGGAAACACGTGCCATCAGATCAGACTCTCACGAAATTAAAAAAAGTCTTAAGTCCGGGCTCAACTCCTGCCTGAACCCTGCACAGACCCACGGATTACCATCGACTCTCGTAAAGGTCAGTAACCCCACAAAATGTTATGTTTCTTGTGAATGATTACCCGAATAAACTAAGCTTATTTTCGTAGCTGACTAATGTTTGTAATGAAGATTTTACGAGCCTTGCCGAAGGTAGTTCTGTAAAAGGTTTGAAGTCTTCGGAATCACGAAATACCGCTGAGTCCCCGCGTTGTGTGTTACAGGGGAGCAGCACCGTACTTGGAACGGAGTTCGAGGGCCACCGGAAAGGCAAAGGGAGGACGGGATGGCCCCAACACGTCTGGGCTCTGGAACTGAAGCAGGAACAGCTTTAGCGCGCGACGCCGTCATCACCATATTAGATAATTTATTATTCGAACGACAGTCTAAAATATACTGTAGTGTTAGCTAAGTATAACCAAGGCCTTTTCTGGCATGCTGTGTATCCAGACGGTCAACCCAAGTCAGAATTTGGTTTCCTGAGCCAAATATTTAAACACATAAGTGAGAAGTAAATGATTACGTACTTCAGAGTGTGGAATCTCTTAAGATGTGACCAGAATATTTTATAAACGACCTGTTGAAACCAGAGGAATGTATTATAGCTTAATTCCATACTAAGAACGTGGGGTCTTGATGGTGCCAAATGAGGCATGCACTCGGGTAGTTCTGCAGATTATTGTTACGACATCCATCAATTTTGCTACTCAACACAAATTAAATTAGCATTAGATGAGTTTCAACTTGAGAATTTATAACTTGTAGGTCCAGCTTTCAAAAACACTTTTTCTTACAGATCTCAACATTACACCTTAGTTATTTTGGCCAGTGATTTTATTATTAGAAATTGTGTTTTGTATTCTTCGTCAGTCGGGACAACTACAAAGTGAAATGTACAGTTTTATCGTAGATATTAGATGTAACTAACATATTTGTATCTCTAAGAGAACACAAACTGAGTCTATTATTATCGCAAAATCCCTATTATATCTAAATTATTTCAAAGAACGTAATACGTTCTGTGGACTATACGCTCTGCCTTGTTCCAATTCAGAAGTAACTTAAGAGATTATTAGCCTTCTACGATATTCGTTAGAACCCCCACAGATGGGAGATCAGCACATCGCGAAATTTCCATCTACGGAAGATTACGTGAAGATGTGTCCGTGTCTCGAATGGGATTCGAACCCACTACTCCGACTCCGAAGTGGTCCGCTAACTTACACTTCTCATAGACCCTGCTTGACTTTGATGTCCTCTGAAACGTCGGTAAGCCATCTTCATGAAATAGGAAACATTTCTGTCGGCATTAAGACCTAGACAAATCGTCTAAGTGACTTTTAATGACGTAAACTGGACTGAATAAATTATGAGCAGGCAGGCGCGTCACAACGGCGGTTCTGAGTTACCAAATCACGTAAAAGTCGTCGTTTAACAGCAGAACAATACCAGGTAGACGAATGTATAAATAACTCGAATTCCGATGGAAAACCTGGGGTTTTGCAAATTATAGAATTATCGATTCCATAGCATAAAACATGTGCATTTGACATGTCAATATCATCGTCGTTTCGGTAGATGTTGCATCCTCATGCGCGTTCACCCCGATTTGTTTCGGAATTGTTGGACATAGAGCTAAACGCCCGGAGGAATCCGCAAAATGTCCTTAGACCCGCCATGTCTCTTTGTCCGTCCGCACGTAACAACTGCCCGATTAAATTTTCATAGTACCCGTCAGCGTAGAATCCTATTACAGGCACGAAACTCGCATTTAATCGATCTCACGAACTTCGAGATATTTAAATCGAGTTGATTTTCAAGAAGTTGTCTCATAACCCGACATCCGGTGGACTTACTCCAATTAGATTCTACATTAGACGTCCTTGCTTATCTGCATCGCCTGTTCTACGATATTTATAGACATCGGACGTCAGTTTTCACGAATTGCAGACTGTAATATGAGCAAATGCGCTATAATTGTACATGTTTAGACATGTCGAATCTCGGTAAAGTTTCTGAGCATGCGCTGTGCGTTCTATATGGCCGTCAACACCCTTGCACATGCGCAGATACAATCACAGGAGTTACTTATCACTGCAAGGGTTCAGCTCATTTCAAGCCTTAATGAACCTGTTCCCACAGGCCGTGTTAAATTTGAGTGGGGTTGTCTATGCCAGTGGTATTCAACCTTTTTTGTTCGCGTACCCCCCAGATATAATTTCTCTTCAACTTTGTACCCCCAGAGTTGTTGGTGTATAATTCAAGTTATACATAGTATATAATCTACATCTAAAATAAATTAAATAAATTACATTACTGATTATTCAGTGTTTATCATAAAATAATATTTTTCTTTAAATTTCACGTACCCCCGGGGGTACGCGTACCCCAAGTTGAATACCACTGGTCTATGCAACTAAAGTCCGCATGTTCTTCGATCGATTACATCAAACCAGATCAATTTTTCCTTAGAAGTATTAAAACGTGGTATTAAAATAAAATTAAAAGTCCCAGCATTCATACTTCCTCAGTAAGACGTTAATTTGAAAAAGAAATGTTCCAGTATCAAGTAGTTCTTATCGCTGTTTAGAGATAGCGTTTTTCTATGTTTCTATATTCTATGACATTTTTACCCACAAACGTCACATCGTTACACTAAAAATAACCTATGACCGCGATGTGAAATGGTAATTTGTCAAACTACGAAACCAAGGCACTTGAAGGGCGGCCGAGTTCAAGTATTTCAACAAAACCCTCCTAAAATATTTTAAGAAACTGAGAGAAACGCTACTTTGATTTGAAATTAACCTGACAAATAATTCCTGTGCTCCAATTTAGGTCATGTCACTTTGAGGCGTGATGAAAGTGTTAATATCTGAAAATAATCGTTTAATATTCATTTTCCGGCGTTCTCTGTCTTTTGATTCAAGGGGTAATTTCATTTTATATCGACATGTCAACATCACTAGTTGTTTAATGTTGCTGGTAATTGCAAAGTTCCACTAGATGTCATATTTCTTCAATACGTGATAGCAATATTTTACAATGTAAATACAGCTTGCAGAGACTGTACTGTGATGTCCAGCCACTGGAAATAGTCGTAATTAGATTAATCTTTCTTCTACGTACTATTTTATTTTCACATTAAGCATTGATGTGACTTACGTTATGTAAAATAAGCAAAATAAATGAAAATATAATTTAAAATCTTGATCCATGTTATTCTCTTTTAAACCCTCAGCTTACATTAAGTTACTAATTTTCAATGACGGATTCTTTTAAGACCTTCGTCTGTCCTTTTCGTCAGAGCCACAGAAAATTTTAGTCGCTTTAGACAGAATAAAATTGATAAATTTAAGCTGACATAACTAGTTAATAACTTAGCCCTTATTGGTATATATAGTTACCACTAATATTTAAAGGTTAAGTACGCGTCATAACACTACACACTTAAACATCGTCATATGTTATAAGCAGTGATATATTTATTCCTGGTAATGGTCCCAGTGCTTTGAAAGTGGGGCTACAAGTGAATTCAGGAAAAACTAAGTACATGTTGGTATCTCGTCGTCAGAAGACAAGCGGGCAAAATTATCTTAGGGTGGCTAATAAGTCCTTTGAAAGGGTTACAAAGTTCAAATATTTGGGAACGACAATAACAAATCAAAATGACACTCGTGAGGAAGTTAGGAGGAGATTAAATTCTGGAAATGCTTGCTACTTCTCAGTCCAAAATATTTTGTCTTCCCGTCTGATTTCTAAGAACCTCAAAATTAAAGTATACAAAACAATAATCTTGCCTATGTCTGTGAAAGTGGCCCCTTGAGATTCTAGATTTCTTGTGTATCTTACACCTTTCCTGGTATATTGCAGTAGAAGTGCACCAACACTAGACAGACACTGACGTCCGACAGAAGACCACTTGTGTCCCCGATGGTTGGCCGTCCTGTTGCTGAGTGCATACATGGAGAAGAGGACTGAATGCAGCATGTAAATTTTGTGTGCCTCTGGAGAGGTGGTGCAGTTTTCTGTTATTTAACCCATTGACAGGGGCTTGCTCTGTTGTGGTAATTGTGTTGCAAGTGTGATAGCAACTTAGATATGAATCATGTGAACGTGTAAGGTGTGGATGTCTAGTTATGTGTGTGGGGTGTTCTACGGAGTGTAGTAAAATAGTAGAAATGTCGGCCGCAATCACATTGCGTTGATAAGAGTCTGCTTCATAGTGTGGTGGCCAACACATCTCGGAATGAGAGAGAATTTGTCATGTGTGACAGGCTGTAAGTTGCAGGTACTCTTGGCTTTGGCCGCAGCTTGTCACCAAAGATGTGATTCCTCTTCCTGGAAAGAATATGTTATTTCGTTTTATCTGCTTCATCCCATTTCACATTCTCTTCGGTGATGAACCTTCGGGTTCCGTAAGCCATCTGGTTGGTTGGGTCCACTATTTGGGAAGCCTGAGGGGAAGAGACCGCTGGGGAGACCTAGACGTAGATGGGAGGATAATCTCAGGCGGGATCAATGGGAGATAGGAGTTGAAGGAGACTGGATTTTGTTGGCCCAGGACAGGGTCCAGTGGAGGGCTTTGGTTAATTCGGTGATGAACCTTCGGATTCCGTAAGCCATCCAGTTAGTTAATAGTCCTGGTGGACCGAAACATGTCGGACACGAACTAAGTCATTAATACACAGTTACGTCGTGACGATTCTATTGAGTTAACGGCGGTCCTTCATTTGTGAAACTGTAAAGTCTCTGTCAGGGTAGGCCCTGGCTGCTCCGTCCTACAGAGCCAGCGGCTTCCAGCAGCGTCCGACGTGTCAGAGCGAACATTCCAGCAACCGATACATAAAGACAGGAGCACGCCGTTACACAAATAAACGAGATCGTCTATCGTCAGGTGAAAAGAACCAGATGGCCGGTTCCTCTGTCTTCTCATTCCCTCTTTGTTTTCCTTTATATTAACTGCGGATCCTTTACTAAAACTCTTTCGAGATCTGGCAGCAAATGCACACGTGCGCTCTGGGAAAAGTTGGCTGTTACGTCACGGCAAAAGTAATTAACTCGCCATTTGACAGGTCCTGAATCACACAGACTTCAAAATTAGATTACGCCTTGCGTTTATGTCCAACTTTTGCTGACAGTGATTCTTTCATTTTCTTAAAATTACGCTGGACAACGTATAAACACGTTGCGTGATATACGATTCGTACACACGAAATTTCGGCTTAAATTCTACAGTCAGGTAACCACGGGGGTGTCTTGCGTCTTAAACGCGGCGGCTAAAATGTAGGACGAAAGTCTAACCGAACTGGGCCATGACGTAATCCTTGATCACCAAGCTCAGTTCTAATTAGTCAACACTGAATGTTTATCGGAGCGAAAACAAAACAAATTTACGCAATTTATGTGTAACGTTTCTGCAAATAAACACAAGGAATTGCGTTATTTAGCATTCCGCCCCCCAAAGTACGAGGTGCGATCGGAAAGTTTCCAGACTGTGTCAATAGCGGGTGAACCGGATGTAGTACGAGCTTCTGCCGCTAGGGGGTGCGGCCTACATTCATAGTGAATCAGTGTGCCAGCCGGCATCATCGAATTAGCATTTGTTTCTTAGTTACAAGCGTTTTGGTAGTGCATTGCACCGACCCTCCTGC